TGTTTTGTAATAAATAACGAAACGAAATTTTTTATCTTAACATAATATTTTTATCGATCGATTTGTTTAGTATTATTTTAAAATCTAATGCGTTACGCAATATTATGATTACCCCTCCTGTATGTCTACTGAACGAGTCACATCTTACAACCTCCTTCGTCCAGGTGGTGAAGAGGGTCGCCGTTGATTTCGTTGGGGAGAGTGTTAGGCTCCTTGCAGTGAAGAAGCGAGAAAGGCTGGAGAGATAGTCATCCACTTTTGAGCAGAGGTCATCAATTCCATTCCCGGACGCCAAAATCGAGCAATCCTCAGCGTATGAGATCAGGGAAACTCCCTCAGGTGGTTGAGGAAGCTTCGAGATGTAGAAGTTAAATAGTAAGGGGGAGAGAACACCACCTTGTGGAACCCCTTGTTTAATCCTTCTTGGTTTCGAGGTTTGATCTCGGAAGATTACTGACGACTGTCGACCACTCATATAATTCGCCGACCATCGCTTCAGTCCCTATGGGAGTGAGGAGGCCTCGATGTCTTCTAGTAGCGTGGAATGGCAGACGGTGTCAAACGCCTTTGACAAGTCCAGCGCTACTAGGACCGTTCCCTCACAGGGGCGGTTTCGATTTAGGCCACGAGTTATTTGTGTGTTTATGGCGTTAAGTGCTGTTGTTGTGCTGCGCACTTTACGGAATCCGAGCTGGTGCTTAGCTGGGGTCAGGTGGCAAGTGAAGTATGGGAGTAGTAGGTCCTCAAGCGTCTTCGCAACCAGGGAAAGGAGCGTTATCGGCCGATAAGAGTCTCCTTTGTTGGCGGGCTTCCCCGGTTTCAGCAGTGGGACCACTCTCCCTGATTTCCACACATCAGGAATGATGAGAGTGGCCATGGACAGGTTGAGGACCTCCGTTAGGTAAGCTACTCCCTTAGGCCCTAAATGTTTTAGCATCAGCATACAGATTCCGTCGGGTCCAATAGCTTTGGATGCTTTCGCCTTCCCGATGGCCCCCTTCACTTCACAGCTGGTGAAAACAAGTGGTGCACTGTTTTTTGGCAGCTTGTGCAGCCTCCTGGTCACTCGACGTTTGGCCTTGTCTACCGAAGGGTGCAGTGTGAATTGCCTACTAAAGTAGGCTGCGCATTTCTTCGGGTCCGACGAAGCGCGACCTTCGAAAGAGATTTCCACTCTGTCATCACGATTCGTTGGGTTGGACAGGGACCTCACGGTTGACCAGAGCTTACTCACACCAGATGTGAAGTTACAGGCCTTCAAGTGCTCCTCCCACTTTTTCCCACTTTCTTCTGAAGGTCTTCTTGCATTTTAATCATTGCATTGGGTAGATTACAGTCACTGAGGGTTAAGAGGGTATCGTCGGCGAACAATTTTACCTTACAATACTTCAATATGAGTTTATGAGTTTATGTCGTTGATATAAATATTAAAGAGTATTGGAGCTGGTAGACCAATATCTACTGCTATCTTTGTGGATAGAGCTGTGCCAATCACCGTTTGTTGCTTCCTATCAGAAAGAAAACTACGGAACCATGTAAGTTCGATGTTATCTATACCAATATATTCGAGTTTCTTAGCATTATTTCCCTGTCTATCGTCTCGAAGGCTCTATTAAGGTCCACAAACACCGCCAAGATAGTTTTCAGGATCATATTTATTGTTTTCTATATTTCGATTAATATAGATGATACCATGATAAAAATATTTATAAGGTACAATCGCTGAGAGCCAGCTTGGGAATTTTGACGTTTGCTAGCATTTTTGAAAATTTCTCTCGACGTCATTTCATTTGTTTGTTTTTATTTTCACTCAAACCAAAGATATATATTTCTGTCGAAACATTAAAATTTGAATGTCCATTCATAGCTATGTACATATGTATATATTTCTTTGCTTAAAAAAACAAATTTACTTGCATGAATAGTATTCGCACTAAAGCAAGACTATAAAACTAGTTTGTTAGCATATTTTAATTAATGGTAATAATATCCCGGAATATCTCGGGATCCCGGAATTACCAATTTAAGATCCCGAAATCCCGGGATTCACAAAATGGTCCGGAATTGGATGCCATAATACTCACACATTTCGCTACACAACTCTCATTACAAGATGCAAATCTATTGCATACAATTTTCT